GGACCTCGAGAGGTCATCGAGTCCAGCCCCCCGCCCTCAAGGCAGGAACAAGCTCCGTCTACACCATCCCTGACAGATGTCTATCTAACCTGTTCTTAAATATCTCCGGAGAGGGAGATTCCACCACCTCCCTTGGCAATTTATTCCAATATTTGAGCACCCTGACAGTTAGGAATTTTTTCCTAATGTCCAATCTAAACCTCCCCTGCTGCACTTTAAGCCCATTACTCCTTGTCCTGTCCTCAGAAACCAAGAGGAACAAATTTTCGCCTTCCTCCTTGTGACACCCTTTTAGATATTTGAAAACCGCTATCATGTCCTCCCTTAATCTTCTTTTTTCCAAACATGCCAAGGATCGCTGTTGCTGAGGCTGGGTCCCCTTTGCCATCTAAGTCCAAACCTCCCTCCCTCCCAGGCCGTGCTGGCTTCCCTCTGCCATCCTAGTATGCCCCCCAGGCCATCTTGCGTCCCCTCCACCATCCGAGCCCACCCCCCAGACCACATGGGGACGCCTCCACCATCTGAGTCCACATGCACTCCCCTCCCAGATTGTCCCGGGTTCCCTCCGCCATCTGAGTCTGACTCCCCCGCCCCCGGCTGTGCTGGGTCCTCTCCATCATACAAGCCCGATTTCTCTCCTCCTAGCTCCTTCACCTCTTGCACTGAGACCACACACCCCCAGCCCGCTCCTGCCCTCCTCCCCCCTTGACCTCCCGGCTAGACACCTACCCCCAGAGAGAGGAGGGCTGGCAAGCATAGCGAGCATGAGGCACAGCTCCCTAGGTAACATATAATTAAATTAAGTATCATAATACATACATGCAAGTAGCCAAGGTTAAGACTGAATGAGTAACTTGAACATTTGATTTCTAAACTTGAGAGCTTTATTTTGCAATCCAGGTGTTCCTTTACCATAGTTTTTTGCATTTGCAGTGATGTTAGATGAAAATCTGAAGTGTATAACTAAAGAAAGAAGGAATATCTTACAACCCATGTGTCCATTTTTAAGAGGGTCCTGGACTTGAATAATAAATCTTTAATGAAGGGATTTCTGCCATCTTTATAAATGTAAAATGTATGTATTTGTCTCTTTGCTGCCAAGATGAAGTTTGAAAACTTGACAGAATCTTTTAGGCCAAATGAATTATAGAATGGAGCTAGTTAAGATTGCAATACACCTGTTCAAATCGTTGCCTGGAGTAAATATTGGGAAATTTGAGAAATAAGAACTTTTTTGTGAAAGCACTCCAGTCACACAGACAAGCCCACCCCATCCTTTCAATAGGCTTTGAGAGGAGTTAAAAGCCTTCACATTATTGTCCTGATCTTCAGGGAAATTGCTTAAATGGTCTCTACCCATAAATAAACTATTACTGTAATGATATGTATTTACTTTGGAAAGATGGGAAGCTTTTCAGAAGAATGAAACAGATTGGAGTCCAATGAACATGCAGGCCTAAACAGAATAAAACAAGGGTGGGAAATAATTTTTGATGGGGGTGCCACTCCAAGATTTTGAAAAGTGGTCAAGGGCTGCACTCTTCCAGGATATTAATGGAGGAGGTACAGGTCTGGGATGGAGGTTGGGTGCAGAAGGGAACTTGGGGTAAAAGACTGAGGTGCAGGAGGACCTGTGAGGTCTGGGAGGGAGTTTGAGTGAAGGGGGCAGTTGTGACTCGGGGGCTCAGAATTGGGGTGCAGGTGTTTGGGTTGTGACATAGGGCAGGGGATTACAGTGCAAGGGTTTGGGCTCTGACCCAGGACAGGAAGAGGATTGTAACCTAGGACAGGGGATTGGGGTGCAGGGTGTGGGAGGCAGTATTGGCTTAGGAAGGGGCAGAGGGTTTGGCTTATGTGGGGTAGGGGGCAGGAGTGAGGGGGCCAGAAGCAGGCTTGGGCTGGGAGACTTATCTGTGGGTATGTCTAGACTGCATCCCTCTGTCGGCAGAGGGATCATAGAACTGGAAGAGACCTCAGAAGGTCATCAAGTCCAGCCCCCTGCTCTAGGCAGGACCAATTCCAACTAAATCACCCCGGCCAGGGCTTTGTCAAGCCGAGACTTAAACACCTCTAGGGATGGAGACTCCACTACTTCCCTAGGTAACCCATTCCAGTCCTTCACCACCCTCCTAGTGAAATAGTTTTTCCTAATATCCAACCTGGACCTCGCCCACCACAACTTGAGCCCATTGCTCCTTGTTCTGCCATCTCTCACTACTGAGACCAGCCTCTCTCCATCCTCTTTGGACCCTCCCTTCAGGAAGTTGAAGGCTGCTATCAAATCCCCCCTCACGCTTCGCTTCTGCAGACTAAGCAAGATTAGGCAAGATGACATTGCAAATGAGGCAGGGATTTAAATATCCCGTGCCTAATTTGCATTAAAATGGCCACCGTTTTTGCCAGCTCATCACTTTGTCGGCAAAAAGAGGCAGTTTAGAGAGGGATCTGTTGCGAAAGAAAGCCTTTTTCAACAGATCCTGTAAACCTCCTTGCAGGAGACATAAGGGATCTGTCAAAAAAGGCTTTCTTTCTCAACAGATCCCCCTCTAGACTGCCACTTTTTGCTGAGTCGGCAATACACAGTGGCCATTTTTATGCAGATTAGGTGCGGGATATTTAAATCCCCGCTTCATTTGCAATGTCAACCTTCCTAATCTGCATTCCTCTGCTGACAGAGGGATGCAGTCTAGACATACCCTGTGAGACTCCCAGCCAGCAGCCCAGCATGTTTCTCAGGCAGGAGCCTGCCCTGCCCCTGCACAGGCTGCAGAGCCTAACAGGAAGGGTGCTTCACACACTGCTTGTTCTTGAAATGGGCCAATGGGATTGTGCTGGTGACGGGAACAGCCATGAAGTTTGTCTGCTTACAGTTTGTGAAACACAAACAGCCCAGCAGCTGCTTTTCTGAGTGATGTACAGGGCTGGGCGAGTAGGGGTCTGCCTGAGGCTCCCTACTTCTTCTGCAGGCCAGATCTGGTGGCTTTGTGGGCTGGATCCAACCCATGGAAGGTGTTTTGCTCAGGCCTGGAATAGAACATTTAGGAAAAGAATCAGTCTATGTAAAGAAACAATCTCTAAGAAGATGTCTTTCCTGAATCAGAGGAAAATGCCCCTAACACTCAAACATTGTTTTATTCTGGCACAAATGAGTTAATGAACTTCCTAAACCTCTAAACACATTATAGAAAATAATTTTGTTTCTAGGTTTTAATTTGTGGTAGAATTGCAGTCTAACCTTGATTATCTGAAATTCTCTGGTGTCATAATCCATCATCCATTTATTACACTGAAGATTCCCTCAATTTTCTGAACATATTCACTGTTGCTGTGACATTCCAAAAACTGCAGTTCTGCTACATAGGAGATACATATTTTATTAATTATAATTATTGTATTAGCCCTGGGGTCCAATATTCCGTAGTGTAAACCCTTTTACTTTGTGACAGCAGTAGTACACTGGCATTATTGTAGTCATGTATAAATGGGAATGTGATCCAAAATGAGTTTTGGATAAGAATTCATGTGGAAAATAAAGAAAAATCTCTACCCTACCCCTTGGTAGGAAATTAACATATTCACTTTCCCCCTCCACTCCCATTAAGTTAAGATCCATATGGTCTCTTTCCTCCATTCTTTGCCAAGAAGCATAATAACGTCTTCTATGCAGGATTTGATTTCTGCTATCTGCCTCTGCTGGATTGTTTGGGGAATGCTCCTGTTATTGGCATTCCATTCACTCTGCCTGAACCTGGGCATGTTTGTCTGGCAGAAACTACTAAATAGGGTTCTTTCACACCAGTAGTAAAGGAAGCAAAATGCTAATGTCCCAACTGTGAAATCCCAAACTTTAGTCATCCCTGAAGTTTCCACTTTGTGCACTTGTCATGGCTGTTCCCCACTCTAGCACGATAAATGCAGAAATGGGGGCCCACAAAAGCACCCCAAAACCTTATCTCTACAAGCTTTGATACAAAAAAAAAACCTCCCCCAAAATCCTAATACCCGGACTTTGGAGAATAAAAACCGCTGTCACCACCCAAGTATTCCAAAGAAACCAGGGAAGAGATCACCTGGGAAATCTCTTCCTTAAAAAACCTCAGGGGTACTTCAAGCTCTTTTCCCCACAGAGCTTGAAAAAGAAAAGAGAAAATACAAGCTGCAGTCTGTGGTAGCTGTCCCCTAGTCAGAGGCATGCAGATAACCAAAGACAGATTTTTCAGGACACAGAAACGAACCAATACCAGGTTAATTAAAAAAAAAAAAAGAAACAAACTTTTATCATCAAAACAATACCATAGTTGCCAGCATAGTGACTAGATGGAAAAGAGCCACAAATTATTCTAGATACTCAGGGGAATCCCCTGGGCTCAGAACTTAGTTACAAAAGAGAAAGAAAACCCACTTTTAACAGCACAGCCATCATTTTCACATTCCCAAACCAGAAAAACAATAAAACCTGACAGATGATCTAACTTTGCCCTACTTATACATTTTGAGGAGACTTTTCTTGGAGAGAGACAGTCCTTCCCTGTTACTTGGAAGAAACTGCTCTGCCTCAGACAAAGGAGGGGAAAGTTAAAAATTCCTTTGTCCCAGTTTGAAATCCCTACCTGCCTTACCATTGGCTGACCACATACCTGGCTAGGTTAACCCCTTAGTTCCCAGGCTGCTGGCCATCCCTCATGGTTATGACAGCACCTGACAAAGTGGGTTCCAGCCCACCAAAGCTTATATTCTTTAAGGTGCCACAGGACTCCCCTTTGGTATGCTTGAATGTTAGTTATCAATACTTATTTTGTCACACAACTATACTAGTATCAATGTATGGGTCTGGAGCGCTCATTTGGTTTTAATTTATGTCATAGAACAGATCCATATCTCACTGTGTAAGCAATAATGTTATGCTTATTTTTTATTCTTTGCCAGAAATAAAAATGTTTAATACAGAAAAACTATTTGCTTGTCCATCTGATCTGCTCTCTTTGTATTTTAATTCACAGTTCCCACTGAGAATGTTGCAACAATTGCAGATTGTGCCAGTGTGATTGAGGGTGTGAGTCGAAGTCGTAATGCCTTGCTGAATGGAGATACAAAGAATTATGACTGGGATTCTGGATACACATGTCATCAGCTAGGCAGTGGTGCTATTGTGGTACAGCTAGCGCAGCCATACATGATTGGATCTATACGGTAAGAGGATTCTTCTCTAAAGAACTGACAGCAAAAAGCTTTCAGCAGCCTCACAAATACAATTGCTTTTTTGTTAATCAGCTCTGAAATGTGTAGAATTGCCTTGTCAGAAATAAAATCATTGGGGCTATTTTAGTATTTATCTATTTGGGTTTTTTAAATTTTTGTTTCAATTTAACATACTATGTTTAATTTCTCAACAGCTGTAAGATGTTATGTCAAAATACAGTAATATAAAATCAGAACAAAAGTAAAATGTATAATATGTCAAATGATTGCCTTGTACATAGGTGTGGATAGCACCAGAATAGAATAGTAAGATTTTTTTAAAATAGTCTACTGTATTAAAACAAACTTAGTTGCAGCCTTAAATATGGAGCAGCTCAATGCCATGTAAAGCACATGTTACTGGATAAAAATGAGAGCTGCAACTGAAAAAAAGAAGCGAGCCATGTTAAGATCATATATCTGCTCTTGGGGTATGTCTTCACTGCTGAGTTAGGATGGTCTCCGATGGCCTAGGCTAGAGAGCCTGAGCTCTAGATCAAGCCTCAATGTCCATTCTGCTATTTTTAGCATACTAGCTCAAGTCCCACTAGCATAATTCTGTGTACCTGGGCTGGTAAGTGCAATATACCTACAGTGTAGACTTCCCCATTGAGCAGACTGTTTTTACACTAAGGGTTTGGCTACTTGAGAAAGTTAATTTGGATTACGGTTGTGTGGGGATTTAAAGTGCAATAGTTATTCCTGAGGAACTCTGTAATTTCTGGAATAAGAGTGCCTTGTTCCTGTTTATCATATTCCACTTTCAAAATGGATTATGCTTAACCAGAACAAGGCCCTCTTATCCTAGAGTAAGTATATGCACATGAAATTATCCCAGAATAGCTGTGGAGGAACTGACAGATTATTAACCATAATGGTAGAAATTATGATAATACTGCTATAGAAATTACTCGGAATCTTAGTCCAGAGATGCTGCTGGTGAACATTCAATGAGCAATGATACTACAGTCAGTACATTTGCACAGTGAACAGTTCACACTCTTCTAGTTTGGGCCTTTACATCCTCAACCAAATATTACAGCTTACATAGAAAAAGGGAAACTACAGTACTCAGAATGTCTTAAAAGTTGGTGGGGAAGAAGCAATTACATCATTTTCATGCCAATTTAAGAATAAAAACTCTGCAGAGACCTGATCACATAAAAGATGAGGGGACAGATATAATCACTAATGTATATAATTTCTCAGTTTATAGTTCTTCTACCTATTATCTTTCAGTTAGCTAATCATTATATCCTTTTCAGTATTATCAGGTTAGTGCACGCAATTGACTGTTTTCTGTATTAAGCTCGGTGCCATTATCTGTTGTCTTCCAGCAGAAATAGTTTTAATAATTCTCATTATTAAACATAGCTTTCAGGGCCAGAAAGAGGTGGTTATATAATTTGTTTGTCTAATACTGTAACTTAAAATATAGACTATATTATTCCATATTATAAAACTAATAGTTGTAATGAGAGTGAACGGTGAAAACATAGGGTCAATTTCTCAACTCGGACTCTGCCAGCTTTTTGCTGCTACAACAGAATGAACCAAGTAGAAAACTGCTCTTCAGGGGCTTCCAGGGATTCTTCTGAGAAAGGAGAATCTTCCAGTAGTGTAGAATTAGAGAAAGATAGTCCTACACCATCTGTATACCCTCCAGTCCAATGGGAGAGGGCAAAAGGGATAGTTACCCTGGGGCCCAGTGATTCAAAGGGTCTAGGGGTTCCTGGGTGGTCAGAATTCTGGCCCTTTAAATCACCACCTACCGCACCTTGCCTGTGTGGTTCTGATGTCTGGGGGTGCACACAGCTAGCTGCCCCAGACCCACTGCTTCTGGGAGCGTGGAGCTGCCCCTTCATCTTGCCCAGGGACCTGCAGAAGCTGTCGGCACTCCTGATGCCTCCATCTCTCTGCCACATTTTAAAATACCAAAGAAATCTCACTTTCTTGTCATAGAGCAAACTAAAACCAGATACATATGGTTTAGCTTATGTAATTGCAATTGTTACTTTAGGAAGATTCACCAATCCATACAGCAGTCTCCAAGGAAATGCCCATGCAGTCACCCCAAACATCTGTATTTGTTTCACAGTTCATAAAATGTTAATCACTTGATGCATGTCAAGCATTAAATCTAACATCAGACTTTAAAATGTGAAAAAACGCAATCTATTCCATTGTAAGGCAAGGCAGCCACAGACAAATGTTTAGTCTCAAATGCTGAAGAAGCACAACACTGCCTTGGTCACTAGTGAAGAGTCTTGTCCCTGATTAATATAAACATAGAAACCTGGAAGGTCAAAGGTGCTACTATTATCAAGAGTCCCAGAATGAGAGGCCAGAATTGAGTTAAGCTGAATTCAGCACAAAAATTAAGTCAGTTAAGTTCCCCTTCTTTAAACCTGGATTACTTTGAGAAGTATGGAGAATCCACCTCAGCCCTGGTCACTAGTGAAGAGTCTTGTCCCTGATTAATATAAACATAGAAACCTGGAAGGTCAAAGGTGCTACTATTATCAAGAGTCCCAGAATGAGAGGCCAGAATTGAGTTAAGCTGAATTCAGCACAAAAATTAAGTCAGTTAAGTTCCCCTTCTTTAAACCTGGATTACTTTGAGAAGTATGGAGAATCCACCTCAGCCC